TGGCTCTGGGAACCCAGGCATCCGTGTACCTCTGTGCACCAGGGGCTCCTCCCAGCCCACGGCCACCTGGTAGATCTTCCCAGGCCCCCACAGTGAGACCACAGCATTTTGTTTAGAGATGAGTATATTTTCTTCAGGGGGAGAAAAAAGCTTTGGAAAACATCACGGTAACATTTAGTGCTAGTAGAAAGCAGTGTTTTTTTTACCATGTGTAAGACAGACGCTGGTGGGAAGCTGCCGCATAGCACGAGGAGCTCGGCTCGGTGCTCTGTGATGCCCTAGAGGAGTGGGGTGGTCGGGTGGGAGGGGGGCCCGTGAGGGAGGGGGTCTGTGTATATGTTCAGCTGACTCACATGTTGGACAGCAGAAAGTAACACAACATTGTAAAGCAACCGTCCTCCAATTAAAAAAAAAAAACGCATGTTTCAGCAACCAGATCAAGGAAGCCAGTGAGGAGTTGGGTTCCTGGCCATAACCAACGCCTGGCCTCCTCTGAGAAGCAGCGATGATCCTATAGCCCCTCAAGGGACCAGAGCATCTGGTGGGCTGACATCTGAAAGATGCTCCAAGCATCAGAGAGAAGACACTGTGTGTAAATGCCAAGTGGATGAAATCAATACGGCCTTTTCCTGATGTGTGGTCTCTTAAAGTGCCACCGGAATTAATCATCTGAAAGAGGGGTCCCCAAAGCTTGAAAGGACTGTGGCTCACATTGAAGGTCAGGAGAGCAGTGACCCCCCCACCCCCCACCTTCATACCAACTCAGGTGTCTTGGGGAAGGTCTCACTGTCTTGGGTTCAAGGTCTAGTCCAGCAAGGAACTTCTCCACCTACAAGATACGTGTGAATGACTCGGGTTGATGTGGATCCCATGCAGGCCTGGGTGGGGCTGAGATTCTGCACCCGTCCCCCCAGCTCCCAGGGCTGCTTCTGCGGGTCCCCCCTGCCCTGCTGGTGGAGTGTGTGCCCGAAGGGGACTGGCTGTGACCCCACGTGACTCAGATGCACAGCAAAGCCTGGGAGCCAATGGACTCGCGCCTCAGTTGGAAGGCTTAGGACGTCAGGATCTCTCTGCAGAGCAGAGAGGGAAGCGGGGCTTCGGGTCCCTGAGGTGGGACCAGCTCCACGAGAAAGCATCCCTGGCCGTGGAAGTCTTAGGTGTGGCCATTATCTGGCTGCCCAGCTGGAGGGTCACAGTGGACACCAGGATGGTCTCCAGGACATGTCTGTCCGTCTGTCTGGCTCCCTTTGGAAGATTATTGTGGGAGTGGAGATTCCTGCTGGAAAACCTGCCGGACCCTCCTTGGCTGCTCCAGTTAGGACCCCGCTGGGCCCCCACAGTTGACTGAAACTAACCAGCAGTGGAGATCCCGTGCCACTTGGAAAACCAGTGACTTGAAAACAGAGACTGAAGTGGGTCTTGAGAGGACTATTAGCAAAGTGAAAAAAAAAATAGAAATAGGCCAAAAAGAATTTTCCTTTTTTAAATTTATTAATGTTTACAATGTCATGTTGATTTCTGGTATATAGCAAAGTGATTCAGATTATATATATGTTCTTTTTCATATTCTTTTCCACTGTGGTTTATCTTGGGATATTGAATATAGTTTCCTGTTTTATACAGTAGGACCTTGTTGTTTATCCATCCTTTATATAATAATTTACATCCATTAATCCCAAACTCCTGATTCATCCCTCCCCCTTCCCCTCAGCAACCACAAGAGTGTCCTCTATGTCTGTGAGCCAGTTTCTTTTGTATATTTTATGCATTTTTGTTTATTTTACACAAATGTAAGTTCATTTGTGTTATATTTTAGATTCCACATATAACTAGTATCAGTAAACTCTTTCTGACTTATTTAACTTAGTACAATAATCTCTGTGTTCGTCCATGTTGCTGTAAATGGCATTATTTCACTCTTTTTTATGGCTGAGTAGTGTCCCGTTGCATATATGTACATCCTTTTTACCCATTCCTCTGTTGATGGACATTTATGTTGTTTCCACGTCTTGGCTGTTGTAAATAGCACTTTTGTGAACACTGGGGTGCATGTATCCTTTCAAATTACAGCACCAAAAGGGTTTTCTAACAGCAGAGAATGAGAAAACAAAACAGGGAAGGAGATGAGGATAGGACTCCATAAAAGCCTAACAGCTTTTGGGGGATGGGAAATGTCTAGGTGTAACAAATTACTGTGACAGGAATAAGCAATCACCTTGGAAACAGAAGGCTTGGGTATCTCTGAAGCCACACAACTGGCCAAACACCTCAAACAAAAACACATTTGGAGGCCCCTCCAGCCTGGGGAATCAACAGCACTGTGAGTCTATTTGTTTTTGCTTTGTTTCTGGGATTTCCTTTAGGATCTCTGATGAAAGTGAAAGTCCAATTCAGTTCAGTCGCTCAGTCGTGTCTGACTGTTTGCAGCCCCATGAATCGCAGCACGCCAGGCCTCCCTGTCCATCACCAACTCCCGGAGTCTACTTAAACTCATGTCCATCAAGTCGGTGATGCCATCCAGGCATCTCATCTTCTGTCGTCCCCTTCTCCTCCTGCCCCCAATCCCTTCAGGGTCTTTTCCAGTGAGTCAGCTCTTCCCATCAGGTGGCCAAAGTACTGAAGTTTCAGCTGCAACATCAGTCCTTCTAATGAACACCCAGGACTGATCTTCTTTAGGATGGACTGGTTGGATCTCCTTGCAGTCCAAGGGACTCTCAAGAGTCTTCTCCAACACCACAGTTCAAAAGCATC